TAAAGTGACAGGCATTATAGGTGAATCGAAGCGACAGTCAGTGATTATATCTACCATAACAATATTATAGCCATGGTAATTACTTAACTACTATTAAAAGAAGAAAAGTCGCAAAAAATTTGGTTATAAACTGGTGAAAATCATACATCTCCACCTTTTTTCGAACCGAAATTCTATGCACAGTGTGCTCTGAGATAGATAGTAACTACGACATCCTTTTAAAAGAAACAAATGTCTTTAAATGTTTAAACGAAAAGAAATACGTTTTTTTTTTTTGTTGAGTATGTTATATAAACAGACGTTTAATAAATGAAAAATGAGTGTCTCCATACTTACACGTAATTCATCGTATAATTTTGATGAATCGAAAAAAATATATTCTACCTGTTCTTCTCATTTCATAAACTCAAACGTTAAACGTTTAACGTTTATTTGTCTTCAAAATGGCAGCCAAGGATAATCAGTTAACTGGAATAGTAAATAAAAACTATTTTAATCAAGAATTAGAGGAGAAAATAAATGAAAATAAAACTAAAGCGGTAATGAATTTAAATTCGCAACGATTGAATAAATATGATATTAGAATAATTGTTAATGAACTAAAAGTAAATCAATGTTGGAAAGAATTATATTTAAATGGTAATAATTTAACAAGTGACACTATACAAAATATGTGTGAAGTATTAAAATTAAATACTCATTTGGAACTTCTTAGTCTCAGTGGAAATCCATTATATAGTGATGGTGCAAAATTAATTGGTGATCTAATGTTAGAAAATAAAAGTATTAAAATATTAATTATTAATTCAAATCAATTTAAAGATCATGGTATTGAACATATTGCACAAATGTTAAAATATAATAAAACATTAAAAGAATTACAGATAATGAATAATCAAATAACACATATGGGTATGATTAATTTAGTTGAAGCATTAAAAATAAATAAAAATTTGGAAAATTTAAATGTTTCAAAAAATGAATTTACAGAATATGGTGTGTCAACTATTATTGATATGTTAAATACAAATCGAACATTAAAAGTGTTAAATATTAGCTCAACTGATATACCATTTAAAGCACAAGATGAAATTCAACGAAAAACTACAGATAATACAATTTGTAAAGTGGAATATTAATGATTTATTTATCTATGAACTTTTGAAACTTTTTGATAAATCAGTAATTTTCTCTTGTATTTTTTGCGAGAAAAATTTTCAAATAAGTTTGCTAAAATTTTCAAATGACCTTTTATCATAGGGAGAAAAATATCTGTGCGAACACATGCGTACATGACACAGTATGCAGTGGATTCAGCATGGTCAGAAATCCATGAAAGTAAACATAAATTCCTTCTAAAAACACTAGTGATTGGGTGTTTTCCTAAGAGTCAATTTTCTTCTCTGCTGCATTTTATACTTCTCTCAGATTACGCAATAAAAAGGTAGCGTTTGTCTTAATT